TCAGAGCCAGACACAGACATGGCAGGGATGTTGGCATTACCAGACTGGGAATTTAAAACAACTATGATTAATATGTTAAGAGCTCTAATGGAAAAAGTAGATAACATGCAAAAACAGATGGACAGTTTAAACAGAAAGATGAAAATTATAAGAAATAATAAAAAAGAAATGATAGAGATAAGAAAAAAACCACTAACAGAAATGAAGAAACCTTTTGATGGACTGATTAGTACACTGCACGTGGCTGGAGAAAAAAGAACCTCTGAGCTTGAGGATATGTCAACAGAAACTTTGAAAGCTGAAAGTGAAGAGAAAAAAAACGTGAAAAAAAATGAGAAAGAATATCCAATCACAAAAAATGTAATATAGGCATGATGAGAATACCTGAAGAAGAAAGACAGAAAAGAACAACATAAACATTTGAAGCAATAATGCCTGAGAATTTCACCAAATTAGTGCCAGACACCAAACCACAGATCCAGGAGGCTCAGGAATCACCAAGCAAAATAATGCCAAAAATAAACAAACAAACAAAAAAGCTACACCTACACATATAATATTCAAGCTGCAGACAACTAAAGATGAAGAAAAAACTTTGAAGGAAGTCAGAGGATAAAAAGCCACTTACCTACAGAGGAGCAAAAATAAGAATTATATCCAACTTCTCCTCAGAAATCACATAAGCAAGAAGATAATGGAGTGGAATACTTAAAGTGTTGAAAGAGAAAAAGCCAAAGTTAAGGTTAAGGTTTTGTTTTTTGTTTGTTTGTTTGTTTGTTTGTTTAGAGATGGGGGTCTCAGTCTGTTGCCCAGGCTCTAAAGGCCTATTTACCACAGTTCCATTTACCCAGTACAAAATGGCTCATTCTAGGATTCTATACACAATTTGGAAGCAATCAGATTGAAATAAATAATAAAAATAATAAAAATTATATCAGCAATCAATGAATTGAAAACAGGAAATCAATAGTGAAAATCAACATAACCAAAACCTGTTTCTTTGTAAAAATCGATAAAATCATAAGCTTCTAGCAAAGCTAGCTAAGAAAAAAAGAGAAAAGACATGAATTATGAATATTGAAAATGAAAGAGAGATCAATTCAAATCCCATGGATGTTAAAAGAATAATAAATGAATATTATGAACAACTCTATGCCCACAGATTTGATAACCCAGATGAAATGGACCAATTTCTTGAAAGACACAATCTGTTAAAACTCACACAAGAAGCAGACAATCTGAAACAGGCTTGCATCTGTTAAAGAAACAGAATCAATAAATAATAAACTCCTCAAACAAAAAGTACTAGGCTTGGATGGATCCACCGGTGAATTCTACCAAACATTTAAGAAAAAATTATACCAATTTTCTAAACATCTTCCAGAAGATAGAAGCAGCTCATTCTATGAGGCCAGCATTACCCTAATACCAAAACCAGATAAATACATTACAAGAAAACTACAGATGTCAATTTAAAATAAATAAATAAATAATAAAATTTAAAAAGAAAAATACAGGCCATCTCTCACGAACATAGATGCAAAAATCCTCGAGAAAATATTAGCAAAGCACACCCAATGATGCATTAAAAAAAAATTATATACCATGACCAAATGTGATTTATTCCAGGCATGCAAGTCTGGTTCAACATTAAAAACTCAATTGGCTGGGCATGGTGGCTCATGCCTGTAATCCCAGCACTTTGGGAGGCTGAGGCAGGCGGATCACCTGAGGTCAGGAGTTTGAGACCAGCGAGGCCAACATGGTCAAACCCCGTCTCTACTAAAATACAAAAATTAGCTAGGTGTGGTGGCACACACCTGTAATCCCAGCTACTCAGGAGGCTGAGGCAGGAGAATCACTTGAACTGGGAGGTGGAGGCTGCAGTGAGCCGAGATTGCACCACTGCACTCCAGCCTGGGCGGCAGAGTGAGAGTCTGTCTCAAAAAAAAAAAAAAAAGAAAAAGTATTTCACAAAATTCAACATTCGTTCCTGATAAAAACTCTCAGGAAACTAGAAATAGAGAGGAACATCCTCAACTTGATTAAACAATGTTCACAAAAACCCTACAGCTAAATATTATACTTAATGGTGAAAAATGTGAAGCATTATTGTTGCTAAGATCAGGAACAAGGCAAGGATGTCCTCTTCACTATTCCTTTCCAACATTGTATTGGAAGTCCTAGTTTATGCAACAAGACAAGAAAATGAAATAAAAGGTATGCTGATCAGTAAGGATGAAGTTAAACTATTGTTGTTGGTTGATGACATGATTGTCTATATAGAAAATCCAAAAGTATCTACAAAATAACCCCTGGAACTAATAAGCAATTAATTATAGCAATGTTGCAGGATGCAAGGTTAATATACAAAAGTAATTTGCTTTCCTATATGATAGCAATGAACAAGTGGAAATTAAAACATACTACCATTTATATTAGCACTCCCCATATTGAAATACTTATGTATAATCTAATAATATATATGCAAAATCTCCTATTTTGTGGATATGATATAGTAACAGTGTGGTATATTGTTTGAATATATAAAGAAGAGTAATGTAAGAGTTTTATTGTAAAATGACAATATCGGCCTGGCACGGTGGCTCACACCTGTAATCCCAGCACCTTGGGAGGCCGAGGCAGGTGGATCACTTGAGGTCAGGAGCTCAAGACCAGCCTGGACAATATGGTGAAACCCCATCTCTACTAAAACAAAAATACAAAAATTAGCCGGGCATGGTGGTGGGCACCTGTAATCCCAGCTACTCAGGATGCTGCTTGAACCCAGGAGGTGGAGGTTGCAGTGAGTCGAGATCATGCCACTGCACTCCAGCCTGGGTACAGAGTGAGACAGCATCTCAAAAAATAATAATAATAAAATAAAATGGCAATATCACATAGCAGAAATTAAATCTCCTGCAAATATTTGAATTTAAGAAGATAAATTTGTAACTTCAATCTAAAAATAAGCAAAGAGACAGTTTTTCAAATGCTTTTTTTTTTTTTTGAGACAGGATCTTGCTTTGTCACCCAGGCTGGAGTACAATGCTGTGATCATAGCTTACTCATTGCAACCTCGACCTCCTGGGCTCAAGCAATCCTCCCACCTCAGCCTCCTGAGTAGCTGGGACTATGGGCGTGCACCACCACACTCAACTAACTCTTGTATTTTTTGTAGAGACAGGGTTTTTCCATGTTGTCCAGGCTGGTCTCAAACTCCTGAGCCCAAGCGATCCACCCGCCTTGGTCTCCCAAAGTGCTGAGATTACAGGTGTGAATCACCAGGCCTGGCCTCAAAATTCTTTTGGGAAGTATGTGAGCAAAAAAATTTGAAGATAACTACTCTAGAAAAAAGACAGAGATGTGGAATTCATTTTGAGACAGCGGAGGAAGATGGAAAAACTGATATCCTAGGTTAGGGTCAACACCACCCTCGTCTTGAACCATAATTCAAAATCAAGCTCTTTGTCCATGACAATTGTGAGGCACTGGGATCCAGTCCTTTATGAGGAGAATAGGACAAAAACAGTGAGTCTGAGAAGAAAGGAAATCCATTACCACTTAATAAACGTGCTTAAACCTTCTCACCTACTGCTTTATGCAAACATGTATGGAATAACTTTTGTAAGAGATTGCACATTTTAAGGGGAAATTTGTGATTTCCCTGCTCCCTGATAAAAACTGGGTAAAGGAAAGCCCAAGTAAATTGACAGGTCCTTACCAGCTGTCATTTCAAAGCATTAGTCAAGGCCTTTGACAAGCAAAGTGGGGACTGGGCAAGCTGGTTGGAGTTTGGGCCCAAAGCCTGAGCTGGGAAATAGGCCAAGGGACTTAGATGTCTGAAATTCAATTTTAGGTTATGTTGTTATGATTTAAATCCCTTCTCCCCCACTTTCTAAAAAGGTTTATATGAGCCTTGGATTAGTATATTCAACTGCCTACTCAATGTCTTTAGCTGAATGTCTACCAGGATTCAATTTAACACATCCAAAACTGAACTTTTGATTCCAATTTTCTCAGTGCTCCCTTTCTCAGTTAATGGCACCACCATTTATCCATTCAGTTTGGCTAACCTTTATTTCTCTCTGTTTCTCAAACCTCACAGCCACCCCATTAGCAAATCCTGTAGGCTGAATCTTCAAAATACATCCCCTCTGACTACATCTACTTGTTGCTACTACCTGAGGCAAGCCACCATCACCTCTTACCTGGACAACCGCAACTGCCTCTTGACTGTTCTTCCCACTTCCACCCTTGCTCCCCTACAGTTTACAGCAGCCAGATGATCCTTTAAAAATGTAAATCAGTCTTGAGTACGGTGGCGCTCATTTGCCTGTAATCTCAGCTCATTCTCTTGGGAAGGCTTAGGCAGGTGGTCACCTGAGGTCACGAGTTGAGGACCAGCCTGTGCGCAAATGGCAAAACCCATCTCCCGTCACTAAAAAAGAAAAAGTTACCCGCCGGTGCATGGTTTTGTGATGCCTGTAATTCCTAGCTACTTCAGGAGGCTGAGGCCCAGCAAGAGTCACTTGAACCGGGAGGCTAGAGACTTGTACTTGTAAACAGCCAAGATCGATGCCATCTTCGCGCTCCACGGCCTGGGGCCACACGGAGTGACCGACTTCTAAGAGGCCAACCAAAAAGAAAAAAAAAAGAAAGAAGTAAATCAGCATCTGTCTTATGTTCACGCGTTTCTCCTGGCTCACATACATTGCCCTCCCTCCGCGCCCTCACCTCGCCCGAACTACCACCACACTTTCGGCGCCCCGGGGTGCGCTTCGCCTCCCCAAACTTTCGCGCGCGCTTCGAGCTCGCGCGCGTCTCTGCGGGCTCTCCTTGAGACCAAGAGCCTGTTCAACATGGTCAAATACCTGTCTCTCTACTCAACCATACAAAAATTATGGGCCGTTGGTGGCAGGCAGCCTGTAGTCCCAGCTTACTAGGGAGGCTGAGGCAGGAGAATCGCTTGAACCCAGGAGGCAGAGGTTGCAGTGAGCTGAGATCGCCCCACTGCACTCCAGCCTGGAAGAGTAAAACTCCATCTCAAAAACCAACCAACCAACCAACCCCAAAGTCCTCATGTGATATAAGAGGCCCTACAAGATCTAGCATCCTGCCACCTCTCTGACCTCATCTGTGTCACCCTGGTCCAGCTACCCAGGCCTTCTTGTTGGTCTGCTAACATGGTCCTGCCTCAGTACTTTCGAACTTGCTCAGAAGGCTTTTCTCCCAGATACATGTATGATTTGTTTCCTTATCTCATTCAGGTCTGTGTTCACATATCACTCCTTGAGGGAAGGCTTCAAATGATCTCATCTAAAACTGACCCCCATCCACACTGCCGCTTTCATCCCCTTAGGGTGGTTTTTTCCCCTTAACACAAATCACCATCTAAGTTTATCACACATTGTTGGTTGCTTATTGGGTTTCCCCCAACAGAATGTAAGCTCCGTGAAGGCAAATCTTTGTTTTCTTATTGCTGCATCCCTGGCATCCAGGAGGTGCTCAGTAAATGAATGAAGTGAAACTAAAGAAGATAAGAGTTCCATGACAGGAAACAGCTTGTGGTAGAAACCCTGCACCTGTTGGTTTAGGGGATGTTGACCGTCAGAACCAGAGATAACCTTAAGAATAGAAGAGATCTTGCCAGGCGCTGTGGCTCCACCTGTAATCCCTGCACTTTGGCAGGCCAAGGTAGGTGGATTACCTGAGGTCAGGAGTTCGAGACCAACCTGGCCAACATAATGAAACCCCATCTCTACTAAAAATACAAAAAATTAGCCGGGCATGGTGGTGGGCACCTGTAATCCCAGCTACTTGGGAGGCTTGAGCCGGAAGGATCACTTGAACCCAAGAAGTGGAGGTTGCAGTGAGCCGAGATGGCACCACTGCACTCCAGCCTGGATGACAGGAGTGAAATTCCATCTCAAAAAAAAAAAAAAAAAAGAAAGAAAACAAAAGATCCCTGGGAATTCACGGAAACCTTGGGGGTGATTACCAGACTTTCTGAAGCGTTTGGAAGGGGGAAGATGATGTAACTTCAGCTGACATCTGCATTACAATATATATTATCTTATTTCATTTTAGTATTACAACAGACAAAGAAACAGAAGATCAGAAAGGTGAAGTGACTTGCCCAAGATTATTCAGGTAAATAGCAGAGCTAAATAGCTAAATCAGCTATTTCTGACTCCAGAAACCATATTTTTTCCAAGACCCAGCATAACTGAGGAGGAAACTTGGCAACAAGTGTGTGCTCAGTTAGGCAACTGTTCAAATAATTAAGCAAATGCTTCAAAAAGTGACAGCTAATTTGGTATTTTGATATCAGATAATCCTAAGGAGAGACCAAAGGCAGACCAGGAGAAAGGAGCTTAAACAAAAAGTTTTAGGGTGAGGAGCTGTCCTGGGAACATAAGAGTACATCAGCTTCGCTGGAGATTAGGGTGTGGAAGGAATGTATTGGGAGATAAGGTCGGCAAAGGCCAGAATGTGGTTAAGGAATTTGGGCTTTATCATGAGAAAGTGGGGAGTATTAACCCATAGAATAATGTGGTCAGAACACATTTTTAGGAAGATCATTTGGGAAGCCAGGGTCAGGGATACCGGATGGATTTGTTGTAGTAGGACCAGTCAAGGGTTCCCTCCAAAGCAATGTAGTATCTCTGAAACCCTGAAAGGGTGAGGTTAAACCCTGCCTTGATCGAAATGTTCAGAAAACAGCCACTAGTTGGCAGGAGTGTGCCAATGAATGAATGAGCCAAACTCCCAACTAGCACAGCTTCCCTTCTCTCACTCCTTGAGCTGTAGTGGGATATGATCAGCTGGTGGATAACAGGAGTAGGTGGGAGGGCAATCTCTTCGGAGGAAACTTCAAAGGCCCAGAGGAGAAGGAGAATGTGATCAGGGAACAGAGTGGATGGATGGCTGGAGGATAGGGTTGGAGTCGAGTGGGGCCAGCCGTGAGGGAGAGAGCTTGATCATGAATGACTTGAATTTTCAGGTTAAGAAACACAGACATTATCCTGAGAGAAATGAGGAACCCACGAAGGTTTTTAAGTAGGAGAGAGACATAACTAGATTTGAATTTTAGGAAGATCATCGATTGCAGTGTGGAGAATGAGGAGGAAGGAGGAAGCAGAGCCAGTGAGAAGGCAGTTGCAGTGATCCTGGGAGAGGTGACGAGTGGCCAGCACTAGGGGCAGCAATTGCAACGGACAGACGGGCCAGAATTGTAGGAGACTTATGAAATAAAAATCACAGAATGAAAAAGGGGCCACTAAAAATGTAGTTGACAGAAGAGAATGAATATCCTTTCCCTATTATTAAATGCATCCTGAATTGTCAGATCGTCTACCTAAAATTGCACTGGAAGAACTCAGATTTCAGAACTTCTTGGCTTCTAAATTCTACTTCATTCATTCAATAATCCTGACCAGAGTCTGTGGTGGAAAGTGGGGACCAAGGAACGGCTCAGTCCTGTACCTGCGGCAGCTGCCCCCACCCCGCCTGCGCGCCCAGTGTGGTGGAAAGATAGTCAATTCCGGTACAGCGTGGAGAGCGCTTTGATGGAGGAAATACAAGCCGATGTAGTGTCCCCGGGAAAACCTGATCCAGAAGGCTTCCAGGGAGAGGAGATTTTGCGTCTAAGATTTCAAATGAAACATCTCATAACACTGTCAGTGAAACAACTAAGCACTGCTGGGAAAAGATGGTGGCCTGCTGGGAAAAGATGGTGGCCCGGAGAACAGTCCCGTTATCTATTTACCCCTTTTCGTCAGAAACCGTAGGCGTCACCTTATGCGGGATAGGAACCCGGGTGAGCTACGTCCCCAGGGATGCCCACCGATACACAAGTCACCGTCACCCCCTCCAGAGTAAACAGCATCGCCTGAAAAGCAGGCGTCCGGGTCGTCCTCAAGGGCCAGCGCCTGGAACCGCCAGGGTGTGATTGGTGGAGTCTTGGAGCCCGCCCCTCGTCGGGCCCAAAAAATCGTCTCTGATTGGTGGAGACGCCACCGGGCCCCGCCCCTCCCCAATCTTGTCCGGGCGCCGCCGGCGGCCGGGCTTTGGGGACCGTTGTGAGGTCTGGGGAGGATGCGCCATCGACCCCGGCAGTAGGCGGCCGAACCTTGGTCCCAAATCTTCTACCCCGGGGTGGATTGCGGCCCCTAGAGGAAAGGCGTCAGCGGAGCGACCAGCAGCTGTGCCGCCACGGCACTCTGGGACACGCTGAGGGCGGGCCGGGCTCCCTGCGCCTGCGCTGACATTTTGCAGTTTGGGAAATGGCGGTGCTCGGGGACGTGGCGGGAGGGAGCTGCGAGTGAATTGTCGGGCCTTTTCAGACCGGGGTCTGGATCCCCGGGCCGGGGCGGTTCCGGGTTGCTGCCTGGCTCTGCCACCGGCGCGGGGCTCCCACCCATCCCCACCCCACCCCGTCTGTTTCCTTTCCGGTCCAGTGGGGACAGCCTCTGAGTGAGGAGCGTCGTAGGAGTAAGATACCCGAGTGGCAACCCTGACAGCCTAGGCCCCAGCCTCTCCTTCTCGCCCTGTCCCCCACCCTCTCCTGCACGGGGACCCGGATAACTCCTTTCCACAGAAGTCTTTTGGGAGCACGTGATAAGGCTTCTTTTCACCTGGCCTCAGCCCTTCATCAGTTAACCGCCCTGTCCTCAGGCTCAGGCAGGGCACATCCTTCTCAATCTGCTCTCCTTTGTGAGATGCAGATGATGTTCTCATAGATTTTTTATACCTAATGGTAATGCATATAGGTATTTCCATTTGCTAAGTACCAGTTTTCCTTTGTCAGCTGACCCTCTAGAGACAAATATCCTTGGTGTTTTATTTCCTGAAGTATCTTCTGAGTGCCTGCTGTGCATCAAGCACTGTACTGAATAGTGCTGAGGACCCACAGGAACCAAATCGGCATCTTCTCATGAAACTCAGACTAGTGGCAGAAAACTGGACTTGTGATGAAGGAACAGATGAAGTGCTCTGGAATTCAGGGGTGAAGGAGGAAGATGAGCTGTCTTTAGAGAGGAAACAGTAGCATATAGAGGAACCAGAGGGGGCAATTCCAAATGAAATGAACACCAGGCAGCTTGACAGCTCACTGGGCCCATACAAAGAACGTGGTTCATTTTGTGTGTAGGGGGGAGGGGTGCGGGAGGTGGGTGGAGTTAATGGAGTAGGGGTTGTATAGTACCATTGTTAAAAGCAGGGGTTTTAGCTTATTCACTGTACGACTTCAGGCACATAACCTCTTTGAGCCTGTCAAGTAAAGGTACAGTATTTACTTCACATTCAAAATAATGCATTTCAAGCCTGAGCATCACGGTTGGCACAAAACTGCTGTCTTTTTGAACACCAACTATCAAATATGTGATAGAAATGCCTTGAATGTCAAGATAAAGAATGTATATATTCTCTGGGTCACAGGGATCAAACAGATTTTTGAGCAATAGAGGACACTGATGAGAGGTACGTGTAAGGGACTGGATCCTGAGTCAAAGTCTAAGCCGCTGAAGTGGTTGCAACCCCACTTACTTTTGTCTCACTCCCATCCAAACCTCCCTACCCTCAATCCACAAGCATTTCAAAACCATGTTTCTAAAAACCAGCCATTTATATCTGTTTAGGTAAGTAACAGGAGTGAGGTGGTGTATTTACAAGTTGGCTTGTCCAGATATACTATAACTTAGTGTCTGTATTTAATATTGACAACCAAAAAATATATATAAATATCTTGCATCTATACACAACAGGGCAGGAGTCTCCGTGTCTTCTTGAGCAGTGAGTTTGCAGGCTCCCACAGGCCCTCTTCTCATGGTGACAGTGTGGCCCTCAGTGCAAAGGAGACTAGAACCCGGCAGCCCAGACTGGCCCTTCCCCTCTCCTCCCTGCACTCCAGTGCTCCCAACTGGTCTCAGGTAAGGAAAGATTAATTTGAGTGGTTGGGTAGGAAGAGATGGGAATGGGCAAATCCTAATGGAGCCTGACCCCTAGAGTGGGGAGATCCAGGCCAGCAGAAGGGGTGGCCATAGCCACCTCCTGGGATAGAAGCCTTGTAGTTCATAGTTCGATTAGTGTGTCCTTAGGACATAGGTCCGGCCCTACAGATTAGCTTGGTGAAGAAGGCAAGTGTCTGGACAGGGCATAGTCCCCACCCTCAGGCACTGAGCCATTCAGGGTGAAGCCTGGGATGTGGGTAGAGGAGACTCAGGCTGATATAAAAATAACAAAATCAGTAATAAAAAAATTATAAAACCTGTTGCTTGTCTGAATAGATTTGAGCAACAGTCTTGCTTTCGTTAAAATCCTGGAGCTGTTAAGTCCTGAATATTCTTCTGGACATCATTGCTGGCTGGAGAAAGGAGCCCCAGGCCCGGCTCGGCTGACATCTGTCAGTTTGGAAGTCTCATCCAGCTGCCTGTGCTCCTGAGAGATCCTTAGGGCTGCTGGGAGCAGGCCGGGCTGGTGGTCTGGGGCGCCTCACACTTGGGAATCAGCCCCCAGGGGATGGAACAGCTCCTCGGGTGTCTTGTCACTTTGGCTGGCTCCCCCCTGCCGGAAGCCGGAAGCAATCTCATCGAAGGTCCGGCCTTTAGTCTCGGGAACTTTGAAGTAGGTGAAGATGAAGAACAGAACCAGGAGCACAGTGAAGATGATGAAGACGTAGGGACCACATAGTTGCTGAAAGACATACAGACACGCTTGGTTGGAGTCATGACCCTACATCCTGACTGTAGGACTTTGGATAAGTCACTTTACCTTTGGCCACCTCCCCAGGAAGGCTATCTTCATTAAATGAGATCACGCTTGCACCTAGCGTGTAATAGGCTCCAGGAGCACCACTCAAGGCTAAGGGGAGAACCCTGGAGTTGAGGTCAGCATTCTTGGTCATGTGACCTGGGCTTCCTACCCTCGATTTCCTCCTCAGCATGATTCCTAATGAGAATCCTGGGCCAGCACTTTGCACAGCACTGTGGGGTCATGCGTGCAGGCGAGAAATGGTGAGTATAGAGACAGTGGGGGTTCTCACCTCCACATACTGGAAGCACATGCCCACAATGAAATTTGAGGTCCAGTTGGAGAAGCCTGCAACAGCAATGGCAGCTGGACGTGGACCCTGGCTGAAGAGTTCAGCCACGATGAACCATGGAATGGGGCCAGGACCCACTTCAAAGAAGGCCACAAAGCCAAAGATGGCTACGATGCTCAGATAGGACATCCAGGGTAGTTGCTCCTGTTGAGGATGACGAAGAAGGGGAAAAGTTAGACTGGGTTGTGATGGATCCTCAGGGGAAACAGAAGCTACAGAGGCAGCCCAGAGCAGAGCCATGCTAGAAGGCAGGAAGCCTGGGGCTGGTCCTGGATTTGTTGTGTATCCAGCGTTGGGCCTACGTTTCCTCATCTGAACAAAATGACTTAAGTCCTGCGGGTTGGTTCCAAGTGTGAGCCCACCCCCTGGGAGTGGTAATGTGGTATGCATGTGGAGGGTGCTAAGAGGCCCCGTGGTCCCCTGGCTGTGCCTGCAGTGTAGTCTGCCTGTGGCAGGATGCAGAAGAACATTCCTGGGGGTGGGGTGGATTCAGGTTCTAAGGTTTGTGCGGTGCCCAGCTCCGGATGCTACAGAGTAAGCACTAAGCATATGGTTCTCATATAACCATTCTCCTTGAGGCGGCCCGGGTGGAAAAGTTACGGTCTTTCCACTTGCTGCCTGTCCGGCCTTTCGGCAACCACCAAACTTTCCAAGCCCAGGTTGAGCTGTAAAATGATGGTCATGGTGCTTTCCTTGCCCAGAGGCTGAATAAACGACTGCCTGTGTGTGAGTGCCAGGCACAGGGTTGGCATAGCGGTCACAGTCACAGGCTTGGGGCTGAGGTTGATTCTTGGCTTCATCCTTTATCTGACAAGTTACTAACCTCACTGGGAATTAGGCTTCCTCCCCCATAAAATGGGAAGAACTGAACTACCTCTAGTCGTGTGAACTGAATGAGGCAAGACGTGGTTCTGCACCTCTGTGGGGAGGAGAGCAGTACTTCCCAGGGTTGCTGTGAAGATGAATTGAGGCTACAGATGAAGATTGGAAAGGGTTAATATTAGGCAAAGTAATTCCTTAAGGAGGCGAGAGTTTGGGGTCTGGGACCAGAGGTGCTGTGCTGAGAATCCATCAAGCAGGGAGGAGCAAGTTCAAGAGAGGATGCGTGTGGTTTGGAAGGTGACAACTTCAGGAGCCAGAAGGTCGAACCCACAGCCAGGGAGAGCGCAGTCACCACCTGGCCTGCCAGCCTGGGGCTGAGACAGGCATTTTGGGATCTGAAGCCCAGGCGAACTCCCTCACATCCCTCACCCTCCAGAACCTGGCAACTCACCAGCAGTGCCAGCGCGATGGTCATGAGTATGGCACAACCTGCCATGCCAGCCAGGCCTATGAGATGCAGGGTCCGCCGGCCTGCTCGCTCCACCACAAACAGCTGTGGGCAGAAACAGTGTCAGTGCCACCCCTGCCTGGTGCCCCTCTGAACCCACCCACCCAGAGGCCTCGCCTCAACAGCCGGGAAAGTCACAGGGCACTGCAAAGACCAGCAGGGAAGATGGCACCGCCTCCTCCCTGGGGCTTGGCTGGGGGAGCCAGTAAGCGAAGACTCACCGACACAACAGTGAAGGCCGTGTTGACGATGCCGGAGCCAATGGTGGCGTACACAGGCTGCTGCACCCCTGCCTTCTCAAAGATGCTCGTGGAGTAATAGAAGACCTGCCAGACAACAGAAACTGTTGGAGCCTACCTGGACATTGTGGCCCTTCCCTGCCTCTGTAGCAGTGCATGTGGAACCCAGGATGAGTAAAGAATGAAGGGGACAAATACTCCGGCAGAAGGACGCTGCACTGCAGTGTCCTTACAGGCTTGGGTTCTAAAGGGAAGGTTCTCCTTTGGCAGAGGCGTATCTGTTATTTCAAGTTTAGGGCTTGTTCACCGTGCACACTTGACCAGAGGGCTTGGCTGGGGCACAGGAAGGGTGGGTGGGGGCACTCACAGCATTGATGCCCGACAGCTGCTGGGACAGCTGCAGCACCACAGCAATGAGGATGGGCTGGCGGTAGGCGGGGGAGCGGAACAGCTCCAGGATGGTGACCTTCTTCTCCCGCATCATCTGCCGACTCTCTTCCTTCATCTCCTGCAGGTCATGGGTCACGTCAGCCGTCCCGCGCAGCTTCTTCAGCACTGGAGGGACCGGAGGGAAGGTGGGGGTGGCTCAGAGTGGGAAGAAGGCTAGGGCTCAGGGAGTGGGGAGGAGGGCAGGGCCCGGCCCGTACCACTCTTGGCCCGGTTCTCCTCATTGCGGTTGATGAGCAGGAAGCGGGGGCTCTCGGGGCAGAAGGGCAGCACGATGCACTGCAGCAGGGCCGGGACGAAGATGATGCTCAGCAGCAGGGGCCACAGGTCCTCGTTGCCCATGATGGAGTCCAGGCCGAACACCTGGGGGAAGCAGGGGCTGTGAGCCTCTGCCCTGACCCCCCTTCCCACCCCGCCCTGCCAGAGTGGCCTTCCCTACTTTGTGTCAGCTGCTGCTTCACAGAAGAGCCCCAGTTCTAGAGGCTCTGCCACTAGCATGAGGCTCAACCTCTCTGAACCCTCAGTTTCCTCATCGGTCACGTGGGGAAAGTAGGACCTACCCCACAGTGTTGCTGGGAGGACAAATGCCAAGGCCACAGATGTGTCCAGGACAGAGAACGGGGGCTGCTACTCTGCCACAGGAGGGTTTTGGGGACAGGGAAGGGGAAGCCTCCTGGAGAGGGTACACTGCACATAATGGCCTAAGGCATGCTGGGGGAAGGCGGGCCCTGTGGTTGGCGGCCTAGAGTGAGAAGAAAGGGATTGAGAAGAGTCAAGTCATCTTGCTCTCAACTAGGAGGCCATGGTGCTGTGTTCTCTGGACCTGTGTACCATAGCTGTCCTCTGCAGGGCTGTGGGGGCTGGGTGGAAGAGAAACTGCCCTGCGGGGCACAGATCTAAGAGCCACTGAAGCTGTGGGCAGGGGCTGTGCCGGGCAGGTAGATCCTGCCCTAGCTTACCTGGGCGATGAGGATGCCAACGACGATGCCCAGCTGGTGCAGGGTGCCCAGGGCCCCACGAAGGGCTGTGGGTGACACCTCACCCACATACATGGGCACGAAGCCTGTGGTCAGGCCGCAGTACACGCCGATGATGAAGCGGCCCAGGATCAGCATCTCAAAGGACTTGCCCAGTTTCGAGAAGCCCATGAGCACGGCAGACACGAAGGCCAGCAGGTTCATCATCAGCATTGAATTCCGCCTGGGGGTGGGGTCACAGGTCAGGCCGGTGCCCACATTCCTTGGGCTCCCAGGGGCTGGGTCATAGGTAATACCCTAGAACAGACAGGGAAGTCTCCCCCACCTCCCACCCCATCTGGGACTCCCTGGGCAGGAGGGCATGGGCCCTCCAAGGGCAGTGCCAGGACCTCTCCTACTTACCGGCCAAAGCGGTTAACGAAAAGGCCCACAGAGAAGGAGCCAATCATGCCCCCAACGGAGAATATGGCCACAGAGAGGGACCAGAGTGTGGTGAGCGTGGTGGGCAGAATGCGCTCCCCATAGCGGTGGATCCATGTCTGGTTGTAGAACTCCTCAATCACCTGCAGGGGGAGATGCAGCCTGGGTGGGCAAGCCCCGGGCCAGGACCCAGTCTTCCTTTTCCTTTCCCCTTGCACCCCTCCCTAAGAGAGGGCCGGGGCCTGGCTCTGCCACAGATTCACTCCATGTTCTTGAGCCAAGTCCCTCTATTTTTGTGGGCCTCAGTTTCCCCAGGCAAGAAACAAGGGGTTGGAGTCCATCTGAGAGCCCCCCCAACTCTCCCGCTTCCCCTAACGTGTGGTTTCCAGTGCCCTGTGGTTTCACAGGCTCAGT